TGCAAACACATTCCTCGTGGAGAGACAGCGGCCACCTGGAACCAGGAAAACTGGTTTGGTTTTTCAAATCATTCAGGATAAAACAACTGAGGCATTTCATTCCTTTTATCAGCTTGCAAACCACTGGAATCATGGAATGGTTTGGGATGGAAGGGACGTTAAAGATGATCCAGGATTAGAGCTCAGGATGCGCTCAGAGGCACCAGCAGCTCATTCCCAAAGATCCTGGTGCAGCTCCAGGAGTCCCTTACTCCGTGCTGTGGATGCTGTGATTCCTGTCCTGGATTTCTTGGCACATTTCCCACTCCTCCCTCCTGGCAGACGGAGCAGGGCAGGCTCAGAGCCCTGCAGAGCTCTGCAGAGGTGTGAATTCAGGTGCTGAACTCGGGGGAGAAAACATCAAATAAACTCCTCCGAGTGGCACAAACGTCATGTAAAGCTTAATCACAGATTGCTTCTCGTGCCGGAGCAGGATGGGAACATTTTTCCTTGCTAAACGGGAGCTTTATCCAGTCAAACATTTAGGAAAGGGTTTGGTTTTTTTTTTTCCCCAGCATAAAATCCAGGCTAATTTAGTCATGAGTCAGGCTGGGTTTTGTCAGGTGCTCAGTGAACATTTGTAAAGTCTTCCCGTGAACTGAGGAGTGTCAGATGGAATCAGCATCAATTTTCCTAACAAGGCTCCAATTACTGCTCCAAGGAGCTGCGGAGCGGGGTGGGAAAACAGCTGCTCCCGTGTGAGGGACCCCCCACCCCCCTTCCCTCGCCTGCCTCGGCACTCGATAGGAATTCTTATCCATTAAAATCAAAAACGCAGCTCCAGCTCCGCCTCAGAGGAGCCTCCTGTGTCTCGCTCCATCAAAGAGAACAGAATGTGGGGTTTTCCTTGTGGGCTCTTCGGGAATGCTGCTTCTGTTTGAATGCATGGAGTGCCTGGGAATGGGAATTTTTCCTTTCCAGGCGTTAATAAGGAGAAGGCATGATCCTGCCCTGCAGTGCTGGAGGAGGCTTCGTTAATCACTGATCGTAATTAGGGGGATGCGTTTAAAATAATGACGGGTTTTGATAACACGCCGCAGTTACCTGGGTCTGTTCGTGGGGAGGGCTCGGTGCTTTCCAAGGAGTTTATCAGTGACAGGAAAATGGGGAATGGCTTTAAACTGACAGGGAATATGTTTAGTTGGGATATTGGGAAGGAATTCCTGGCTGGGAGGATGGGAAGGGGCTGGGATGGAATTCCCAGGGGAACTGTGGGTGCCCCTGGATCCCTGGAAGTGTCCAAGTCCAGGATGGAGCAACCTGGGGTAGAGAGAGGAGTCCCTTTTCCTGGCAGGGAGTAGCACTGTATGGGATTAAACCATTCCATGATTCCACAACTCCATGAATTCCTTATTTATCGATATATTTATATATAAATAGGAGCTTCAAGGCCCCTCCCAACCCCAACAATTCCCTGTTCCGTGCCACTTGGGTCACCCCCTTTGGCCACCCCAATTCCCGGCAGGCAGGATGTGTTTTTCCAGGCCCACAGCCCCCTGGAGCAGCATTTCCCTGGCTCTGAATCCCAGGAAGCCGCCAGGATCTCCTGGCAGCTCCAAGGGGAGCAGCTCCTGCCGGCTCTGTGGCATCAGCACAGCACCCAACTCCTACAAGTGGGAAGAAAACACAGCCAAACAGAGGCAGGGAGAAATTCCAGGGCTCCTAAAAGAAGATCCTCCCCTGCTTTGCTTCCTGGGAAAGCCACGGATCGGGCACACTCTTCACACCCCACCAGCACCGAGAGCACTCCTGGATTTTTTCCGGGAGAAAGGGATGTGCTCCGATGGCACTGCATGGGAGAAGGGCGGCAGGAGGATGTGAGGAGGAGGTGGGATCTCGTTAAGATGTGTTGCAACCTCAAAATAGGAAAAAAATCCCAGAGCGTTCAGCTTCCAGATGGTTGGAATGACATGTGGCACTGGCAGCTGCTGCTTCCCGAGCCTCGGGAATGACAGGGGACAGGAGTGGGGAGGCAGCACCTGGAAGAGGGAGGGACATGATGGGAGGGCCAGAGGTCACCCTTCGGAACGGGGACGGACCAGGGGAGGACTTGGACACTGTCCCCTGTCAGCTCCGCACATTTTCCTGCTTGGAATGCGCCATTGGATCATCCCACCTGAGGTGGGACAGCACTTGGAGGTGAACCACTGGAAAAATCACAGCCAGAGGAAAGCAAACCCCGAGGAGGGGGAGGTTGGACTGACAAACAAGGTCTTTGCAAACTCCTGGAATCACTGGGATTGGAAAAGCCGTCCAAGATCGAGTCCAACCATTTCACAGCACTTCCAGGGCCACTGCTGATCCATGTCCCCAAGTGCCACATCCACATGGATTTTAAATCCCTTCAGGGATTGGGACTCCACCTCTGCCCCAGGGAAACCTTTTCCATTAAACTTTTCCTTGTCTCCAACGTAAACCTCCCCTGGCACAACTTGAAGCCATTTCCCACTGTTATTTGGGAAAAGAAGCCTGGATACACCCTCCTGTCAGGAATTTCCCATTCATCCTTCAGTGGAAAACCAGGAATACAAAATCCCAGCCAATCCCTGCTCATCAGACGCTTCTTCCCTGCTCCCCGTGATCCAAATGTCAGTCCTCACTTTGGAAAGTCAAAGTTTTCCTTTCCAATGACTGGACCTGCCAGCACAGCTGAGAATTCCCAAGGAAAACCAGGAAAAAATACATTCCTTGAGGTTGGGCAGGAGATTGTCACCAGTGGGGATAAAGTGTCACCTCTTAGTTACTCAATCCTGGAAATACCTCATTTGTATCCAGGGATAAATGGCCTTTGTATATCCTGGCACATCCCTTTGGAGCTGGAGAGCAGGGACAGCCCAGCCCCTGGATCCTGGATAAAATCTGGGAAAAGAACAGGTCCCCAGGGTGATCCTGCTCCAGACTTTGCAGGATTTTATCCAAAAACCAAACCAACCTCTCCTGACAGCCACAACTTGTGGGAAAAAAAGGAGATGCATTCACCTGAGCGGGGATAAAGCGTTTTAAAAATTCCAGCCAGGAAAATGATTTCTATGGCAACTAATGGTGCATTCCGAAGGTGAGGAATCGGGAATAATAAATAATAATCACATGGAACATCTCAAAACAACTCCATGGATAACGAGCAGGCATTCAAGGATGTGTCAGGGTGCTCAGAGTCTTGTATTTGATTAGGAGTGAGGTGAATTTTTGGGATTAACAGAGCAATTATTTGTAATTCTCCTTCCTTCCTATAATCCCCACAGCCTTGTGTTATTCCACCCAAAAAAAACTCATTGATGCTGAGAAGACTCCATGAAAATTTAGAAGAGAAATTCCCAAAAATTTCCAGGAATTGGGAAGTGCAACCACCACTCTGAACACAGGAGTTTCCCTGCCTGGAAATAATCCCAGGGAAAATTTTGGGGCACATGGTGGGAAAGGCAGCAAAGAGAGCTGAGAAAATGGGAAGATTTGATAAATCTGAAGATTTGTGTTCAAAGGGAGGCCCCTCCAGGGTGGAATCGCTGCAAGGATGACCTGGAGCAGATCAGAGACATCCCCGAGTCATCAGATCCCAAAGAACCGCATCCATTGATCCCAAAGTTAAAAGAACAAATGTTGGAAAGACAAAAAAGGGATAAACGTTTGCTTTGGTAAAGCAGGAAGGAGGAATGACAGGATAGAAGGGGAAAAAAAAATGGAATTTTTTCCCATTACTTCATTTCTCCTCCCAGAACTATCACAGGCAGCCTCAAATCCTAGAGATTAGAAATCCCTGGGAATGTTCAAGGTTTGGAGTGGAAAATATCCCTGTCCATGGCAGGAGTTTCACCAGTTGATTTTTAATCTGCTTTCCAACCCAAACCATTCCATGATTCTGTGATTTTACAAATTCCCAGTCCAGGTTTGTTTCATTCTTCCAGCCTTTAAACCAAAAGGAGTTTCTGCACCAAGAATAATCGGCAAAATTGAGAAACGTGGAAGTGTGAAAGCATTCCTGGAATGCACAGTTCCATATTTTATAACCTCATCCCCCAGCATCTGATCAAACAGCAGCTGGAAAACAATTTCCATGCAATTTGCAACCCAAACCTGAGAGCATCCTGTGGAAAAATCAGGAAAAAATTGGAATACTGGAAACACCCGCCCTAAACCAGAATAAACAGAATAAACTTCCACTGCTTTGAGCTTTAAATCTTCTCCTTAAATTTGGAACAATCACAGAATAAACAGCAGAGCAACAGCAAACCCCTCCTTCCTGGAGGAGCTCACAGTGAAGGTCTCCCAGAGAATTCCCTGCTCCCTGTTCCTGCCTGTCCCTGCAATTCCTAGAGCAGAGGGTTTAATTCATCACCTTGGAAAGGAAATCCCTGGTGATTATCCTAATTAGAAATAACTGATTAACGAGGTGTCCTGCCCCAAGGAGGTCACACCAGGGAGGTGCAGCACAAATTGTCATAAGTCTTGAGCTTGATAAAATAAGGTTAGACCTGGGAAAAGCGGATTTATTCCTGGCTAATTCTGGTTTATCCAGCTGCGACACCGGAAGTTCCATGACATCCAGATCCAGGTGAACAGGGAGTCTTTCCCAAGCTCTTGGGTGTCGCTGCTCCAGCTGTTGTCTCATCCAGAGCTCCAGCTGGATTTTTGTGGACTGGGATGTGAAGATCCCAGATAACAGGACAACTTTAAGGATTTTTATCCAGCAATTGTCACCCTTATAATTCTTTTCCTTCTCTTTAACCAACCTCCATGGAAATGGAGCACACCAGGATTTTAAAGTGCAATATTGCTGACTTTAACACCAGATTCTCCCAAAAAAACTCATCAACATTCCTGCTGTTCCTCTGGAACACCCAACATCCACCCAACAACAGCCAGGATGGATCCCCCACCTGGATCCCGTTGGATGTTGCCCAGTGAGATGAAGGTGACCCCAACTCCTGGAAGGTCTGAGGGGGACAAAGTGGTCAGGGACTCACCTGTGGCCGGGGGTGGCCGGTGACCAGGCAGGTGAGCTCCAGGGTCTCTCCCTCGCGGATGGTGTAGACCCTCTCGGAGTAGCGCTCCTCCTCGATGTTGCAGGCCAGGCCCGAGTGCACGATCCGCACCGTGGGAGGGGCTGCAAGGCCAGCAGAGAAACAGATCAGAACCACACGGATCATGGGATCAAGGGATAGTCAGAGTCGGGAGGGACTCATGAGGATTGCGTCCTTACGGGAATCAAACCTGACCACGGAGCTCTCAGGTCCATCATCCAACCAACCAAGCCCATCCCAAAAAACCTCGCTCCTGCGGCTGGCCCTGAGCCGGGGGGGCTGCAAGGCCAGCAGAGAAACACGATGAGAGTCACATGGACCACCGAATTGTGGGGTGTTCCAAGCTGGAAGAATCCCAAAAGGATCAAATCCAGCTCTTTAGGGAATCAAATGCGACTTTGACATCCTCAGCTCCATGATCCAACCAACCGAGCCCATCACAAAAAACCTCACTCCTGGGGCTGGCCCTGAGCTGGGGGGGGCTGCAAGGCCAGCAGAGAAACGGGATGAGAGCCACATGGATCATGGGATCATGGGATCATGGGATAGCCAGAACCAGGAGGGTCTCAGAAGATTTGCATCCTTAAAGGAATCAAACCTGACCACGGAGCTCTCAGCTCCATCATCCAACCAACTGAGCCCATCCCAGACCACTCCACCCCTTGGACCTGGCCCTGAACTGGGAGGCTGCAAGGCCAGGAGAGAAACGGGATCAGAACCACGTGGATCATGGGATTATTGGATGTTCTGGGTTGGAAAAACCACAAGGATCGAGTCCCACTCCTAAGGGAATTGAACCTACTTCGGTGTTTTCAATGATCTGACCAACCAAGCTCATCCCAGGCCACCCCAGCCCTGGAACCAGCACTGAGTATCTCCCCCACACAGATGCTCTTTGTTTACTCAGCACATACTCAGCCCCACAAGAGATTTCCATGGTTTTCATTAATCCCTGGCAATCCCCCGAATGAAACCTTCAGCACCTCCCACTTGCATTCCAATTTTTTTGTTTCCATTTCCAAAATGAACTCGGCATTATTGTTTTTACTCTATATCTTCCTAAATGCATTATCACACTCGTTATGCAAATGAAAAGACTTAATTAAAGCAGGAAAATTAAGCAGGAGAAACAGTGGCACTGATGCTGCTGCTTCCTTTCCAAATCCTGTCGCTGTCAGCAGGATCACAATTTGGAGCAGAAGTTCAGGCGGAACCTTACTTTAATTTCCTTGTTGGTACAACCTGTAGTACAGGAATTACTCAGCTTTACACGTTGTAAGCGTAAGGAAACCACGACATTCCTGTTCTTACACCTGCATAAATCCCAGCTCCGCTTCCACGTTCTCCAAAGGACATTCCCGGCTCCACAATTTCGCTTCTGAGCTGTGAAATTCACAGCTATGACAATTTCCAGGGAGTGGGTCGATAGGAGAAGGGAGCTGATTTACAGGCTTAAATAAAACCACAAAAACTAAAGAGCACAGAGGATAAAATGGAATTCTGTGGGATTTAAACACCCGGAATTCCATCTTTTCTGTTCATCCATGTGATGCCATTGAGCTCCCAGCCCCATTCCCCGTGGAAGAGCCTCAAAACCTCTCCCCAAACCCCTTGCAACAGCTGGATTCCCTTCCCAAGGCTGCTTTTCCAGCTCTCTGTGCTGTCCATCTCACCAATCCTGCTTCTCTGATCGTTCTGCAATTCCTCTGCTGAGATCCACATGGAATTCCTGGGATGCAGGGCTCTGGAATCCCTTCAGACCCCTCTCACCATGGCATTCCAGGTCCAGCCCACACACAGCTCCTGTGGACACAGCATACAGTGGGATCTGGATCCAAAAGCCTGGGATTCATCCCAGAATTCCATATTTTTGAGTCTGGTTCTCCACAGGCTGGAGAAAATGAGGCTCAAGCCAAGGAGGCAGAAAAGGCAGAGGAGGACCAGGGAATGGATGTTTCCTCCACAGAAACACGGAAAGGTTTGGGTTGGAAGGGCCTTAAATCCCATCTCATTCCAACCCAGCACATTCCACTATCCCTGGTTGTTCCAAGCCCCATCCAAACCTGGCCTCAGACACTTCCAGGGATCCAGGGACAGTCACACCTTCTTTGGGACTTCTATTCCAGGGTCTCCCCACCCTCCCAGCCAGGAATTCCTTCCCAATATCCCATCCAACCTCACGCTCAGCTTGAAGCCATCATTCCAGAAAAGCTTCCATCAAGCTCTGCTCTTCCAGCCACCACATCCTGAGTTCCAAGGCCCCAAGAATTTTCCCCCTCCACTTTGCCAGAAGGTTTCACAAAGACCAACACACCCCTGCTCCAGGTAGTTTTATGAGCCAAAAGTGCTCCCAATTATTCCAAGTCCAAGGCAATGATGGAATAAAGTTGTTTGGAACAACCTGGGATAGTGGAAGGTGTCCCAGCCCATGGCAGGGGTGGAAGATCCATTCCAATCCAAACCCTTCTGGGATTCCATGAATCCCTTGTCCCATAGATGCATGTGGCTCTTCCCATGAGACTCCTGGAAAGACAGGAATGTCCTTGGCTGGGAATCAGGACCACGTGTCACACTCTGACCTGGAAAAAATCCATTAATTCCTGATTATGGTTATTTTTCCAAGCAGAGCAGCCGCACTAACACTCGGTGTGCTTATTTTTCCCTGAAATTCCTAGGAATGTTGATCCCCCTCCACACTCCTCAGAAGTTCAACATCCCAAGGACATGGAATGTGCTCTTTGTTCTGCCATTTCCAGGACTCTGAGTCACCACCGGCACTCCCATCACCTCCCATGCCACAAATTCCAAAATACGGGAATGCTGAGGCAGAGCCAGGGAGCAGAAAGGTAAACGAGGGTTCAGCACGGCTCATCAAACCTGGGATCAAATTAGAGTAGTCAGCAACATTATTCCAACATCCTTTTAAATCCATATTCCATTAATATTCCATTTTTATTCATGTTATATTCATATAACTCCAAATCACGGCTGAAGTGTCCTTCATTTTAGTGGCTGTGCCACTCTCCTGAATCCATTAAATTTGGGAAGGAACAGGAGAGGAAAAACGCCCTCCTGGGTGTTATTATCTCCAAGGAAAACACTGCTTTAAGAGGAGATCAAGGGAAATAACAAATATTCTTCTTCTTTTAAGTGAAAAATCTTATGGTTCAGGAGACATCCCATAATTATGAAATGTCACCTCCCTGTTTCCTGCAGGAATATTCATTCCAGCTCCTTCTGAAAGCTGCCTCCAGGGATTTCATCCATTAAAATAATATCAACTTAGCATTGATTTTGTTTGTGACATTTGAGGAGGATTTGGCTGGTGATTAGACACGGAAAACGCTGCGTGGATCCTTCCCAGCGCCATTCCCAGCAAGGCACGACCTGGAGCAAGGAAAGGTTGTCCAAGGAAAAGGTAAAAGCAACAAATCTGAGCACAACCCCCTCGTCCTGCTGTAAGAGTTGTGTGACCCCACAGGATCCCCCCTTTCCATGAAAAATGGGAAGTTTCACCTTCCTGTGTCTCCTCATCATCTTTCTTGGCTGCTCTTTCCCAGAAATTCCTAGTTTAGATGGGATATTGGGAAGAAATTCCTGGCTGGGAGCGTGGGGAGACCCTGGAATGGATATCCCAGAGAATCTGTGACCCAAAGCCCTGATCCAAAGGATTTCCAGAGGAATTTGGATGTTTCCTCGGCCTGGAAAGTCCTCACTGGGATGATTTGGTGATCCCTGAGCTGTGCTGATGGATTGGGAATGGCTGGGAATTTCCTCTGCTCCAGGTCCTCACCTTGATCTTTTTTTATGGAAAATGGTATCAGGATCCTTGGAGAAAAGTAGGAATGAGGTGGTGTTTTGGACTGGCAGAATGGGAGAAAGTTTGAGGGGACTTTGGGATTCATTTCAGCTGGAATGGGAAGAGGAGCTGGGAGCTGGAGATCTGTGGAGCTGGGAATGGGAATCATTCCCTGGAGAGGAACTGGGAACAAGGCCTGGAGGAACAGGACACAGGGAATGGCTCTCACTGCCGGAGGGCAGGGATGGATGGGATATTGGGAATTCCTGGCTGGGAGGCTGGGATGGGGCTGGGATGGAATTCCCAGAGCAGCTGTGGCTGCCCCTGGATCCCTGGAAGCATCCAAGGCCTGGGATAGGGAAGGTGTGGATTCCAGGGGTGGAACTGGATGGCCTTTAAGGTTCCTTCCATCCCAAAACATTCCAGGATTCAGTTCCAGGATCTCTTGGCACAGCTCTTTCCTGGTTAAAAGTTTCCCATACACAGACATTTCCCTTGTTGGAAAACAGGGAATTAAACTCTGACCAACATCAGAACTCAGATCCCAGAATGAATTCCCTTAATCTGAGTGGTTCTAAGATCTTCCTGATTCATGGAATATGGAAGATTCCTTAAAACCAAAATAAAATGAGATTTTTCTTTCTGGGAAATAGGAGATCAATGACGGACCTGCTAGAAAATGCAGGGTGGATTTGCCACGAATCAAATCCTTCCTTCTCCCCTCCTGCAGCCATGAGCTTTCCCCCTGATCCATATTCTGCATCAGGAGCTTTTCCATGGAAAATTAATTAGCAGGAGTGAAGCCCCCAGTGAATTTAGTGCAGTTCTGCAGCGGAATAAGGAGGAAATAATGGGGTTTTCTGAAGAAAGAGGTTTAAAGTAATTGCAGGCACTTGCTACTCTCAGAATTCACTTTCCCCATATTATCCCAGCTCTTAATTCTCCTAAACTGCAAATGGAATGACCAGGAATCTCTGAGGTATTGCCATGGGAATGCACTGCCCTCATCAATGCAGAATTTGGAGCATTTTACTGCAGCTAATTTGGGATTTGGGGCTATTTTTCCAGCTGGAGGTGAGGCTCTGTCCACAAATAAATGGATTATGGAAACAGCTTTTTATATTTTTTCTCTAAGTGGGTTTTTTCTTTGGGGGAAAATCAGATGTTACAAAAGTTGCTTCTATTAAACAAATATTCCGTTTACGGAGAAATCCGAGCCAAATTCCAGGTGCCTAAGAGAGGAAACCTTCAGCTGACCCGATTCCAAACCAGTTGTGCCATTCCTGGATCACTCCGTATCATTCCTAAATATTTCCCACCTGCTTTCACCTGATGCCCGTGG